CAAAAACTATTGCATAATAATTTTAAAATCACAAGGAAAAATAAAGCCTGGAAAAACTGAAATTCCTAATGTCCTGCAGACAAAAACAAAATAAGCAATAAATTGAGAAAAATTATTTGCACCTCCTATCCAACCAGAGCTGATGTCGTACAGATGGGCAAAGGACATGTAAGTGTATGAAAAGGTGCTGGACCAGCTCCCAACCAGAGCTGCAAATTAAAACCTTCCCAGAACTTTTCCCGTTTCCGGATCTGCAAACGCGGGAGCGCGCCCTCGCCCCCTGGCGGCTGCCTGGGGCATTGCCGGCACCGGTACAGGGACTCCCGCGGAAAAGGCACCTGTCAAGGACTGGAGCGCCGCAGAGCAGCCTGCGTACCCGGCGGAGGGTGGGTAAAAACAGAGCCCACCCGCCAATGGGATCCTGTCCAGCTGCAAAAAAGAACGAGGAGTCTGTGTGCACTTGGGATAGTTTTCTGCGCTGTGACAAATCACCCACCAATTCCGCAGTTTTCAGTAACACGCGTTGTCTGGGTGTTCATCTTGGGAGTGGGCACAGCATGGCTGGGTTGTCAGGGGTGCAAGTGTCTGGAATAAGGCTGGCACCTGGGGCAGCCTCACTGGAGGGTCGAGGTCCTTCCCACCTTCCTTGTGTGCTGGGGCAGGGGCTGCTCTCAGCTCCAGTGGCCCTCAGGACCAGCAGAACCTGTGTCACTGCTTCACACCGGAGGACTCAGCTCACCTGGTCTGACCAGCTCATCACAGCTGAGTGACCTGTTCACTGTGCTCACTCATGGGGGCACCCAGGTGTCCCCCGGGCCAGGAATGCTGGGGCTACCCTAGAATCCTGCCTCCGTGTGCTGGACAGGGGGTGCCCAGGGAGTAAGTGGAAACCAGGGGCTTGTAGCTCCAGGTGGGGGAGTCCTGTTGCTCTGGAGCTGACTGGCCCATAACCCCAACCTGGATTAAGTGTTGGCTCTAAATCTTTTCATTTCTTCCCCGAAGGGTGCAAGCACACCTGCCCCCAAGCCTCCAGCTGTCCTGCAGGGGCCTTCTGAGCTCAGGAGGCTGTGGCCAGGGCACAGAGGGCCAGCAGAGTGGCCCAGCCCACCGCCACTCCTTGTGCCAGACTGGCTTTGTTTCAATGAAGTCTGGGCCAACACTTCTGGTTGAAGGAAAATAACCTACTGCTAAGAGCATTTCTGGACTGCAGGACCCCAGACACTGAAAGGGCTCTGGCTCCCCACCCCCTTATTAGGGATTCTAGCAAATTAGGAGAGATCGCAGCACGGCTTCACCTTCCCAATGGCTATGAACACTCAGCCAGCCTGCTGATGGGGAAGGTGCCCTCTGTGGCTGTCAGACACGAGCACTTGTTACCCAAAAATGTAGATGGCACCCTACACGATGAGAACCAGCACTCATCTCTTCTGAACTCCTTTCCTGCACACCTGTTTCAGGCACCGCGCCTGGGAAGCCCCGAATCTCAGTGGGGAGTGGCAGGTGGTGGAACATGGCACTGGAAGCCTTGCTCCAGAGCCAAGTAGCATCTGCCGCTGCCCCTGCATCCCTCACCTGGAGGGACCTGTCGTGTACAGGAGGGCACTGAGCCCCCAACCCTACTCTGCAGGGAGATCTCCCAGGACCTCTGCAATGCTGCTCTTTAGAAACACAAAGGCTCCTAGGCAGAACATGCTTCTAAGTCTTAGGTGGGAAAATCGTAGGTAGTAGCCCCCCAAAATGAGATCTGCTTCCAAATAAGTCCCAAGTGTCAGGTAACTGGCAGCATAGCTGAGGGGGCATTGCCATTGCTGCCTCTGTGCTGGAACCAGTCCATTAAGTCCACACATACATGTAGCAAGACTCAGACCACAAAGCTGCTTCCCTGGGTTCTCACGGCCACAGCTACCAAGGGCCCATAGACCACGGTGCAGACAGGGCCAGGACAGGCTCCAGCCCTCTGTGTGGGCAGTGACAACTGACATGCCCTCTCATCCACGAAGCAGGACCAATGGCTTCAGTATGCCCCAGGACAGCCCGTGGCTGGCCTTCCACAGCACAGCCGGCTGCAACAGGCTGGGTGTGAGCCAAAGGGAAGCTACCCAGTCCCAGCTATTGGGAGCTGGAGGCAGGAGGATGGCTTGAGCCCAGGAGTTGAGGTTGCTGTAAGCATAGGCTGATCCAGGTGGTAGCTCTCTCTAGCCTGGGCACACAAAGCGAGACCTCTGTCTCAAAAAAATGAAAAGAAATATTGTTCACAGGAACTGAGAATCACCATTAGGCTCTCAACAGGGAGACCTGTTCTGTGCTTTTTCATGAGCTGTTGGGAGGCCAGGTTTTTTTTTTTACCATGGGAAGCAGTGGTTTGTCCCCAGCAAACAGCTTTGTAGAACTGTTAAAGCTCGGACAGTGCCATGTATGTGGACCTTCCTTTGGGAGTGTGAATGGATGGGTTGCTCTGCCGGTCCCTCCCTGGTGACACACAGGTTGGTGCTCTTGCAGACAACAACTTCCCCGTCTTACCTGTTTTGTCATCATCATCGCGCGGCCCCACGGACCGCTCGTGTCGTTCGACCCGAGTCGACAGAGCAGGACTCTAATAATGAACTGTCACCTCATCACATGGGTGCGTCACACAACGTGGGGCAGCTTAAAAAGGGCTGCAGCGCACTGTTTTTTTTCCAGAAGACAAGCAGGGGTGAGCGTTGGGGTCCTTAGACATTGAAGTTGAAGCCCGACTTATCTGTTTGTCTCATCAACAAACAGGGTTGAAGAACTCAAATGGCCACCCAGCTGACAGGCCGTCATGCCCATCACGGAATGTAGAGTGCGACACCTCAGTCCGTGCTGCGCCTCAGACAAACTGTGTGGTGCTGATTGGGTGTTAAAGCGTTCAGGTTAAAGGGGTGGCACAGTGGCACGCTGGGTGGTAGATTATAGGGTTTGTGGAGAGGATCATTCTTTCAGCTCTGGTTACACCCCACCCTGATTCTCTCACATGGTGACTCGATGAAAAATGTTATTGTCCACCTCTCACGCCGAGAGCTTGCTGCGCTTTGTGACTCCCCAGTTGTCGCCCTCTCCCACGGCTGTTAGAGCAGTTTGCCACAGCGGATTTGATGCCGCTTGCCTGCCAACCATGCCGCCTCTGCCATTTCCATGATGATGGTGTTCTGCTCAGGGTTTT